CTGCAGTGAAGCTGCAGTGGGCTGCCATAAGTTACCGTGTGTGGCCAGCAGCCAGTGTGAGTGGCTGGCAGCCAGTGTGTGCTGCCAAGAGCCGCCGTGAGCGGCCGTCCAGAGGCCAGCGACCGATCTGCCTCACCCGGGAAGAGCGCAATGATAATACCAACATGGGTCAGTGAAGTGATGTCCTCCACAACTAGACTGAAGAACAAAAGGACAGCAACTTGTCTGTTCCCCTTCCCCGATTCTCCAACGCTGTTCCCCTCCCCCAATTCCCCAATACAATCTTTAAAAAAAAAAGTATACAATCTTTAAAAAAAAAGTAACATGGGTAAATATTATAACATACTGCTAAGTTTAAGAAAAAAAACAAGCCCATATGTCTCAAAATATGAACAAACAGTATAATTCAATTTTTGTTTAACAGTATTACAGTAGCTAAATAAGTTTTTTCTTTTCTTTTTTTTTTTTTTAGCTGAGCCATCCTGCCACCTGTTGGCAGCTCAGCTCGGGCCAGAAGTTGAACCTGCGACCCTGCTGCTCAGAGCTGGCACTCTTGAGCGAGCTCTTAACCAACTGAGCCATTGGCTGGCCCTGTAATTTTCTTTTTCTTTCTTTTTGCTTTATATTCATTCCCCCTCAAAATAAGTAGAAAATATATTTCTCAGGCGATTAAAAAGAAAGGGCTCTGGGCTTCCCTGGTAGTGAGGTTGAAGAGCAGAGTGTAGCTGTAGTCAGATAAGGGAACTGGGCTCATTCTGGGGAGCAGAGGTTAAGGAGAGCAATAATACCTCTTGCCCTACACGGGGCACTGCAACTTACAAAGCACAGGGGGATGGCTAGGACTAGGGCTGAGTGAGCATGAGGGTGGGGAGGTGCCTCTCACCACTTCTCTAGCTGGAAAAGTTCCAACCCTCCATCCACAGGGGCTCCAATGCAGGCCTTCTGCTGCTGGACTTTCCAGTCCTCCAACTGGGGCAGCAGTAGATCGATTAGGGTGGTGAATCGGCCTAGCAGTGCTTTGGAGGCATCAAGCACCTCCTAGGAAAAAAATAAAGTGAGTGCTGAGCACCTCTCACCATCACTATCCACCATCCAACAAGGGACCAAGAAGCCAAGGCTAAGAGGCCAGGGCCCTCAGATCCCTCATTTTCCCCAGTTCCCTGCTGCCCCACTCCCTCTGTCCTCTGCCTCCCACCTTTCTTCTTTTGTCCAGTTCATTGAGAGTTTCCTGCAGAAGCTGCTGCTGTCTGGTCTGATGGGGGTCCAAAGAGGGTGTCCTCGCTGGATGGCAGGAGCAGAAGTGAGACAAGTGCTCAGATCTAGGGTTCCTTCCCCTCACCTTCCAGACTCGGACCTCAGTCAGAGTCAGGAGGGTGGAATTCTGAAGAGAGAAGAAGGGGAACCAAGCGAGGGACAGGCACCTCTGGGCCTTCGAAGCCCACTCAATCTGCTATGGCAGTTTCCCATGCATTTCCTCCAACATTCACTAGCTGTCCCTCAGCCACACCTCCAGCTCAACCTCCACAACATACTCTGGTGCTTCTAGTTTTGCATGGCAGCAGGACTGTAGCTAGTGAGGTGTAACTAAAGCTTACTGGGGCTTTTCCCTTTTGCTCTCTTCCACCCTTGGCCTTCCAGTGGGCACCTGTCTTCCTCCTACCCCTCAGCGTGCTTCCTACCTGAGCTCTGGATCTTGTATCGGAAGCAGAAGACATCCTGCTGGTCTTTCAGTTGGCTCATGGATTTCACCAGCTTCTGTAGTGGGGATGAGACCCAGATGAGGCTGCGTCTGTGGGAGGAAGCAGGCTGCGTTCTGCCCACCCTGACTTGCCACATCTACCAACCTCCATCATCGCCCTTAATTCCAGGACCCGGGATTCGATCTCATGCTGCTGGCTCTCCACAGGTGCTTCAAGAGCTGGCTCTCCTTGCTCCTGAAATAAGAGGCTCTGAGTACATTCAACTCTGACCTTTCATCCCTGAAATGCAGGCCTGAAATTAAACCACAGGCTATGGGAGATCTTATTCTGAGATAAATTTCCTGAGTCCTTTCCATGATCTGTCTCCACTCCAGGAACTTTCAATATCACTACCAAATTGTTCTCACCAATTGAGCCCTCTGAGACTGGATCAGAATTTTCTTTTCTTCCAGAAGGAGATTAAAGATCATCGCAGCCAATTGGGTAGGGCCCTGGGGCAAGGCCTACAGTAGGAAAAGAGAAAGAATTGATTGAACTCAACTGCCTAAAATGAACCTTCCCAGCAGTGACCCCAGTACTTTCCCCTCCTTCAGGGTCCCTAGCCCTTCCCTTTTTCACCACTGGTCATCAAACTCTAGCCTCTTCCCAACAGGGTCATCTAAACACTGCCCTTCTCTCTGCAGGTGATCCTTCAAGTCCAAACTTTGTCCCCCCTGATCTGCCCCTATCCCTTTGCATCTCCAGGTCCTATTCCATACCCTAAACTGTATTCCTCTAGACTCAGCTTCCATTCCTACTTTGTTATTCCCAGCTCCTCCAAGTACCTGAATGTCCCGACAGAATTTTCGCAAGTTGTGCTGAAGCAACAAGCACTCAGGGTCCTGGCTGCAGCGGCCACACTCATAGTTCAGTTGGTCCAAGAAGTGGAAGAATAGCATGTTAGCCTTGGAATCATCACTGCCCAGTGCAGCTTCCTGCCTGGGGAACAGGAATGACAAAGGTTAGTATCTCTGCAGGGTGGCTACTGTCTTTGAGGCCTTCCAACCTCTTCCTGCCCTTGGTGTTTCCAGGATCCCAGGGGCTCTGAAGAAAGAAACCACTTTCCTCATCTCACCCTACCCCCCAACTTTCTGAGGGCCTCACCAGTTCTGGTCTTCAATCCAGACAGCCAAGTACTGTCGAATATCCACCGGCAGGAGGCTATTTGTGTAGAGCTGGTGCAACTGATCTTGAAATGAGTTGTCAAGATTCTGCAGTTCCTCCCACTGCGCCATTTGGGATCTGAGTCTGAAGGATTCAGGTTCCCAATTGGAAATTTGACTGGACTACATCATCCACAGTCTCATAATTATTATTAAAATTTAACATTTTAAAATTATACAGGTAAAAAAGGATACAGAAAAAAGGGGTGGGGGGGAATGTCTAGATTGACCCCAGTCCCAATCTTGGTACCTTCCCCTCCTCTCCAGAAGTAACCAAAATTATTAGTTTGTTATATATTCCTCCAGGGTGTACTATTTAATGGCTCCAATATGTGGGCCTTTTTGTTTTAATGGTAATTTTTAAACACACACCAAAGTAGAGTGAATAGTACAAGAATCATCCATGTACCCAGCATTAATCCTCAACAAACATTAATGATACTTCTAGCATTTTTATTTAATCTATCTCCCTCTAAATTTGTTTGTGTTTGTATTCATTTATGCTGGAGCATTTAAAAGTCAGTGTGGTGGGCCGGCCGAGTGGCTCAGTTGGTTAAGAGCTTGCTCAAGAGTGCGAGCTCTGAGCAACAGCGGTTTGATTCCCGGCCAAGCTCAGCTACCGCTGAGCTGCCAACAGGTGGCAGGATGGCTCAGCTAAAAAATGAATAAATAAATAAATAAACAAATAAGTAAATAAAATAAGTCAGTGTGGGTCATAAGTATTTATTTCAGCATCATCCCTACTGGCCCCAAAGCTTTATCAGGGACTGAAACCTCCTTGGAAATAAGGTACACCCTATAAACTGTTTTCCATGTAGGAAGGAGGAACTCTATTCTAGAAGATGTTTACATGCTGTGCAAGGAGTCCCTCAATTCCTAAGGTTGTGACACTTTTATGACCTCTGTTGATCTCTGATTCTTCACATGGATTTATCAACTTTGTGAGAGACCCAGAAATTTTACTCAAAACTAGTTTTTGCCTGTCACCACGTAGGCTGGGCAGAGAATCTTTCTCTCTACCTTGCCCCATCCACTGCCATCTGTCAATTTAGGAAATTAAAACTTATTCTTGTTGCAGCCTGGACCTAACGGAAAAGAATAAACAGCACATCTGTGGTCTAAAAAAGGTCACATGATTTTATTAGAAATCAAAGAAAAATGTTTGCGATGGGAGAGGTTCTTTTCCACTAGTATGAATAATTATGAGCTGCCTTTCTACCCCTGGTAAGTAGGAAGAGGGGAAGGAAAGGATGGCTGGGTCTCTTATTTTCCAACTTAACAGTTTTAGTAGCGCTTGACATTTAAAACTATGCTATGTACCTGTGTTGGTTTTAAGAAACAAATGACGAGGCCCCAGTTCTTAAGGAACTAATCAGTTGGTATTAAAAGAGTAAGGCAGCAAGTAAACTTTGAGGTTTAAATGTAAAAACAAACAAACAACGAAAGAAACAAATCTGGTCTTTTCAAATGGATTGTAAACATTTGAGATTGTAAACATAACAGGTTCTTCTCCAGTTATCCCTCATTCTCTTAGGCACGTATTTTGTGTTCAAAAAGTTGTTCTGAAATAAACTTTTACGAAGATCAAAAATTACACAGACCAGAGGGTAGCTGCGTTGGCTAACAGACTGAATCAATGCAACAATGCCAACTTCCGAATCTCGGAGACTGCAGGGAAATTTTGGAAGGGGGGCATTAGGGTTGGGCAACTAGGCTGGACTGGAGGGGGTTTGGATCCAGGATGCAGCAGGAGACAGCTATTTCAACCTGGGGACACAGGTTGACCCCTCCGGGGCACAGCCCCCGGGGTCTGCCACCCTTGCCAGGGAGGAACTCGCGCCTCCACCCCCAACCCTCGCGTGCCCTCTAAGGGTGGGTACCTGGTTGGGGGTCTCAGTCCTCGCTCCCTCCGGTGGCTCAGGTCTAGGCTTCGGTTCCTCAGCGGGAGCTATGGCACCAGCGTCCCTCGCCCCGCCCTGGGCTTCGTCCCGCCCCTTGCGCCCGCCCCCTTGTAGCGGGCTTGAGTTGGCAGCTGAACCTCGGAGGTCGCCATTCCCAGCCCCGCACCCCGACACTGGCCAAGCTCTTCTCCAGGCTGTGAGCTCATTGGCGCCGCCACAACTCCTCCCTCCCCGCGGGGCGGGACAAGCGGAGCGGAAGCCGCATCTCCAGCTCCAGCGATTGGTGGGACAGCTCAAGTAAGCCCCGCCCCATAACTGCGGAGGGAGGAGTCCAATTAATAGGGCACCTCAGGCCTGAAACTGCTGATTTCCGAGAACCCGTTCTACAACCACAGAACCGAGACTAGCTCAGGACCGTGGAAGCACTTAGGGCTCCTTCAGAAGAGGTGGGACCGGAATTTCGACACTTTGGGATAGGAAGGGGAGGGCTGAAGTAATATCAAAATAAAAACTGTTTATTGATGGTACGTGCTAAGTAAGCGCTTTAGGTTCATTGTACCGTTTGTAATTTCCACAAACTACATTGAGGTGAAAATCATTATCCCTACTTTAGAAATTTTAAAAACTGAGCGTGGAGAAAGAAGTTAAATTACTAGTCAACCATCACTGAGGCTTTAACAAGTGGAGCCTGGATTCAAACCAAACCTCTGATTCCAAACCCCAAACTTTAAAATTCCTACATTTTACAGCACCGCCTTCGATAACAAATCAAAGACTTGGATTCTGAACACACACACACATAGTCTGTCAGAATATTTGATTTATTCATTCTGTGTTTACCACCTTTTATATCCCCAAACTCCCAACCCCAGGATCTACGTTATAGCTCTTGAAGAAGGGCTTCCCAGTAAGAAGTTGAATTTGCTATTTCTGACACCAAAGGGGCAATGGTAGTTGTTTCTGCTATGTCACTTATATTTGGGGTGCTGCCCAAGCTTTCCTCACTGGTCTCTGGTGGAGGGATGTTTGCCTCTTTCTCATGGTAATACTGGATCAACCGTTGAACCCCAGCCTTCACTGCAGGTTTAAGGGCAGTGCTGACCACTACTCCCAAGGGCCCCCCTGACATTCCAGTCATGGTCATCAGAAGGTCATAACCCAAATCTATGGCCCCCTGTTGGCCTCGTTGCTTGGCCTTGTCCAAGCAGTTCTGAGCAGCATAATACAAAGCTGTGCCCAGGTCGTAGAAGGTTCCCACTCCTGGCAACCACTGGACTATATTGTGCACGTACTGTTCCTGCTCATACTCGCAGTCCTTATTGGGGAGGGAGCGTCGGGCCCTCTCTGGATCTTGCTGCTCCCTGGCCAACAGCTGCAAAGCGGAGGCCAGGGCATCCACTGACACTCCCCTCCCTGTGCTTCTGCCCTGCTCCAGCCCTTGAAGATGTCGGAAGAGGACCTGTGTAGCCTTTACACCACCCAGGCGGAAAAGCTGACGCTGCAGGGCCTGTACATCAGCATGGCAGCCAGCTTCCTTCAGTGCAATCATCAATGGCAGGCCTATCAGGAACTTGGGTAGAGGGGCCATATGGGTATAGCCAGGCAGGGACTTTGGGAGCAGGGTCTGGCAGGTCAAGGGGTTTGAGGAAGGTGGCCAGGATTCCAAGGATGAAGGAAGGTGCATCAGGATATTTGTCTGGTTTCCATAAGAAATAGCATCCATAGGATACAGCAGGAGGTAGTAAAGCAGCAGCTCAATTGGTATCATGAGGTATCTGAGGCCACCCATGTCTGGACCAGAGTATGCTGGAGAGGGGAAAAACCAGAAACATACAAACCATTTCCATAAGGGATATATTCTGAAAGGAACCCAGGACTCAGGGCACACCTCATCCATCTCCTCTAAGCTTCTGCTCTTTTTAGGTAAAGGCCTAAGAGACAGGAAATGCAACTCAATTGTTCCCACTGGCCTTCTCTATCTTCAGTTTACCTGGGACTTCCTCTGCTTTATTTCAACCCCTTTATAGGGGGCCCCAAATTACCACACAGTCCAGTCATTGAGAAGTAAGACGGCCTTGATAGGTTTGGTAGCTGCTTGATCCCATGCTGCCCACTTCTCTGTTCCATAGGGGAAACACATTTGCTTTCCCCTATGATCAATAAGATATGTAACCTCTGCAAATATTTGTCCATTTGTATTGGCTGCTCAAACCTTGTCCCCTTGTCACACACTTGACCTCAATACCTAAGATCTTGTTCTTTGGCATTTCCTACAGGTCCCACCATGTTCTCACTCTAGCTCATGATAGGATCCAAGAAACTCAGAATCAGAAGAGATTAGATGTTTATTATTTGCTCTTTTAAAATTTCTCTTTTCAGTTTAAAAAGTAAATTAGCAAGCTATAGTGTGTAGTTGGGGTTTTAGTACAAGGTAGATGAATGAGAAAAGGTTAAAATACTGCTCATGCAGAACATATTACATGCACAGTAGTATATGACAAGTTAAAGAAAGAAAAGGGAAAATGGAATAAGAAATGGGGACTGAGAATTACTAAGCAGAGACGGGCAAGGCTAATACCAGTTGCACGCGTGTCTTAGCACTGGGATGAAATACAGAACATACTTCTGACCTAAGTGGTCTCCAACACATCTAACTACTTACCATATCCCATCCTTGAACATAGTCCTGGGAAAGGAGGCTTGTTGCCTAGGCGGCATTGAATATCTAAAGTAAACCTGGACAAATTCCTGAACCAATTTCCCATTAAGCACCTCAGAGAACTGTGGAACATTTGATAAATTATATTGTCATCATCCATAGACACTGAAAAGCTCTTAACTTGGGTTTTTCTTCAGCTTTTTGCCTAATTCTTCAACATGTTCATACCTGAAGTTCTATGTTGACAGTAAAAGCTTTAAATTGTTTCACCAGCAACATGGGAGATGGCTTCTCAGCAAACTCAATCACCATCTGGGCTAATTGCTAGATCAGCCACCCCTGTATTCACCACCATCAATACACATTCCTCAGGGTGAGTAACTGAGTGTTGGATTTATCCAAGCTCCCCTGCAAGTCCCCCCAGATCCCTCAGAATGACCTTAGTATTGCCTCCAGAGCACCTCAAAAGAGGCGCCAATTGAGCTGACTCTGAAGACAGGTGGGGTGTTGTGTGTGTGTGTTTAGAGCCTTCCAGTAGAGGAACTGACATGATTAACCATTTAGAGGCATGAAAAAAGCCTGATTTTGGAGGATGGAAAGTAGTCCAAGATGAGGCTGACTATGGTGTCAAGTAGGTGTGTGGATGGTGTGGCTGTGAGGCTGCCAAGTCTGGCCAAGGCCAGGCACACCACTCAGAGGCTCTGGCCTCTGTTCTACAAACAGTGGGAAACCATCAAGTGCTCTGGACAGGGGAGTGATATAATCAAAACGATATTTTGAAAGATAACTCAGGGAACAGCATGGATGGACTTAGTGGAAGGGGAGATTGGAGAGAGAAAGACTAGCATGATGGGTGCTGCAGGAGTGTCAGTCAGTGATAACAAGGAAATTGCATTGACAGAATTTAGAGTAGTCAAATTCATAGAAACAGAAAGTAGAAGGGTGGTTACCAGGAGCTGAGGGGAGGAGGAAACAGAGAGTTGTTTAATTGGTATAGAGTTTTAGTTTGCAAGATGAAAAATTTCTTGAAATGTTTGCACAATGTGAATATGCTTAACACTACTGCATTGTATACTCTGAAAGGGTTAGGATGGAAAATTTTGTTATGTGTTTTGTTTTGCTTTTTACCACAATTAAAAAACTAAACTACAAAAAGGAAGTAAATGTTTTTTACTTAAAAGATTTTTTTTAGAATGAAGAAGAAAAAAATTTCCAGATTGAGTAGACTCAGAGTATACCAGAAAATAAATGGAAAAAAATACAACTCCCTCCCCCCGACCCATATTTAGTGTATTAGTCTGCCAGAGTTGCCATAACAAAATACCACAGAATGGGTCATTTAAACAACAGGAATTTTTCTCACAATGTGGAGACCAAAATCAAGACTTGTTGGCAGGTTTGTTTAGTTCTGAGGCTTCTTTCCTTGGCTTGCAGATGGCTGCCTTTTCACTATGCCCTCACATGGCCTTCCTCTGTGCATACGCACTCTGGGGTCTCTTCCACTTCTTATAGGACAGCAGTTCCATTGGATTAGGGTGCACTCTTATGACCTTATTTAACCTTAATTACCTTCTTAAAGGCCTTCTCTCCAAACAGAGTCACATTTGGGGTTAGGGCTTCAACCTATGAATTTTGAGGGTTACACAATTCAGTCCATAACACCTAGTGACATTATCATGTAATACCAAGAATAAAAACTATGAATAATTTAAAATATGGAAAGAAAGAATTCAGTTCCTCAGTCACACCATCCACATTTCAGATGCTCAGTAGACATATTGGGCTAATGTCCACAATATTGGAAAGCATGTTTCTATCATCTCCCATCAAGTGCTGTGATCTAGAAATTGTGGAAGAAGTTATAAAACCCTTAAGGTTATAATTGACTTCATTTGAATACGCCCCAGGTCCCTCTTCCCTACCTTAATCAGAGGATCATCCTCATTTGAACCACCTGGAATTTCAACAAGGACTGGTAAGATTTTTGTCACCTCTTTGTCACCACACATTTTCAATGTGTGGATTCGCATATCTGTGAAAGGCCTGCTTGACTGTGCAGCATTCTCACTCTAGGGCCATCGGATCTTTGAGAAATCTAAACTTATTGTAGTACCCAGAGCCTAACAGAATAAAGCAAGCATATATGCGATTTAAGGAGTCACGTGATTTTATTATGAAGGGGAAAAAATTTTTTTTTTAGCTGAGCCATCCTGCCACCTGTTGGCAGCTCAGCTCAGCCTGGGAATTGAACCGGCGACCCTGTTGCTCAGCACTCACACTTTTGAGTGAGCTCTTAACCAACTGAGCCACTCGGCCAGCCCTAAAAAATCTCTTTTGAGGTGAGAGGATTCTCTTCACCAGCATGGATGACAGGCTGACATAATCATAGCTGAATATTCCATTTCATATCTGAGGATTAGGACAAAGGAGTTGGTGATAATTTTTAATTATTCAGTTTTTAAATACTGCCTATCTTACGAATATTGGGCTAGATATTTAGATTTTGAACACCACAGGTTTGTCAAGAATTTATGCATATTCATGCATAACCCCTTTTTATAAAGCACAAGACTTCTGGGAACAGTATATAAGTCATGGACCTTGAATAAGGCCCACAATGCATAGGGAGCCAAGTCATTTCTTCAGAAGTCTTGCCCTGAGAACATGGTTGTTGTTTGTCACCCCTGGGTGATTCACATATAAGAAGCCTCTTAAGCCCTCTTCCCTGATTTCTGACAGAGTATTTTACTCTTTCTCATAGTAATACTGGATCAGCTGCTGAACCCCAGCCTTCACTGCAGGTTTAGGCACTGTGCTCACCAGTAGCCCATGGGTCCCCCTGAGAACCTCAGCAGGATCATCAGAAGGCCTGGGTCTATGACACCAACTCTGCCTCATTCCTTGGGTTTACTGGAGTAGTTCTGAGCAGCAGAGTACAAAGCTATGCCTGAGTTTGTAATAGATTCCCACTCCTGGCAACAGATGGACCACATTGTACACATGCTGCTCTTGCTCATGCCAACAGTCTAGGATAGAGAAGGCACATCTTGCTCTCCCTGTATCAAGTTAAACCCTGCCTATTAGCTGCAGAACAGAGACCAGAGCCTCCCCTGGGAAGCCCTTCCCTGTGCTACTGTCTGGGTGTCTAGTCAAAGAAAACCAGCATGGCTATTCACATGGCCCAGCCTATAAACATGAAGCTGCAGGGTCTAGGAAGCAGGCTGGGGGTCAGCTTGCTCCAGGGAAATCCTCAGTGTTGAACCTATCAAAGGATCCTTGGTAGAGAACCAAGTGGGTGAGGCCAGGCAAGGACTTTGGGAGCAGGGTCTGGCAGAACCAAGAGCCTGCAGAGGGTGGTTGGATCCCCAGAGATGAGGCAAAAGGCACCAAAGTCTTTTTCTGGACTCCACAAGAAATGGCAACCATGGGGTGAAAGGGGAGGCAGTAAAGGAGCAGGTCATGATGGCTCTCAGGTGATGCCTAGCTCAATCAGATGATGCTAGAATGGAAGATAACACTCAGACTGTTTCCCTTGGGCTGTAGTCTGAAGGAGCTTAAGGCTCAGTTACAGGACATCTCACCCATCAACTCCCAGCCTCTGTTCCTTATAAGTTTGGGGCCAGGGAATGGAAAACAGGACTCGATTGCTCTTCTTGGTCTCCCCATTCCAGATCACCAGGGACTTCTACTTCACTTCTACGCAGTTATGAGGTCCTAAATTACCACACAATTCTGTCAGTGCAAAAGGAAACTGCTCTGGTAGAAGCAGACCCATTGTCCAGTTCTCTGTCCCATTAGGAGGCGAGATGGTTGCTTTCCCTGATAATAAGGAACATGACCTCTGCAAACGTTTGGCCATTTGTACTGATTGCTCACATCTTGTTCCCCTGTCACATACTCAGTCTCAAATGACACTGGCATTTCCTGTATGTCCCTACCACATTCCATCTCTAGCTCACAAAAGCCACAGAGACCCAGAGTTAAGAGAGATCAGATAACTGTGATTCTGACATAGAAGCAACTTTTTATCTTTTCAGTTTAAAAATTAAAATAAGAAAGCTACGGCAGAGCTGGCTGGGTGGCACAGTTGGTTAAGAGCATGAGCTCTGAGCAACAGGGTTGCCGGTTGGATTCCCACATGGGCCAGTGAGCTGCGCCCAAGCTGAGCTGTCAAAGGGCAGCTGGATGGCTCAGCTGGTGAGAGTGCGTGCTCTTAACAAGGTTGCCGGTTTGACTCCCACATGGGATGGTGGGCTACCCCCCTCCCCCCGCGACTAGACTGAAAGTGGCGACTGGACTTGGAACTGAGCTTGCGCCCTCCACAACTAAGATTGAAGGACAACTTGGCTTGGAGCTGATGGGTACTGGAAAAACACAATGTTCCCCTTCCCCAATTCCCCAACACTGTTCCCTTCCCCAATTCCCCAACACTGTTCCCTTCCCCAATTCCCCAATAAAATCTAAAAAAAAAGAAAAAGAAAAAAAAGAAAGCTAGAGCATCCAGTTGAGAATTAGAAAGCAGAGAGTACATGAATGGGAAAAGATTAAAATATCCTTCATACCTAGTATTTAATTAATCCACAATATTTGACAACTGAAAGAAATTGGGAGACTAGGGGCTAGACCTGCTAGGGGACCAAGCTGACTCCGGTTACTCGTCTTTCAGCACTAGGATTAGATGAATAGCATTCTTCCGCCCTAAACTGTCCCCAACACTTTTAACTACCCATTGTGCCCAACTCCACACATAATCCTATCAGACATTTTAGAAAAGAAACATGGTACCTGGAAGGCCTTTCCTATTTTAAATGTCTGATTGTTTCTCTATCAAGCCCAGTACACTGTTATCAGAATGGTTGCGGAATGCCTGACAAAAGTATAACTGATCTTCCCAAGTCATTGTGAGGATCTGTTTCAGGGCTTTTCATCAGCTGTTTGCCTATTGCTTCCAAGGCTCATCTATGCACATCTGGGTGACACTGATGGCAGCAGTCTTGAACTCTGTTACTAGATCAGTGGAGGGAAGCTTCTCAGCATATTCAACCATCAGCTCTCCCATTTCATAGAGCACCCACCTACATTCATGCCTACATGCCTCAGGGAAGGTAACAGCGCTGGACCCATCAAAGTCCCCCTGCAGATCCCCCCAAATGACCTTAGTATCGCCAATCTCTTCCTCCTCGTTGTGCTTTTTATACCCATGAATGAGGGTTTCAACGGTGTCTTTTCCTCCCATTCTAACAAGCTGAAGCTGCAGGACGTGGGCCTCAGTTGGGCAGCCAACTGAGAGCTAAGGTGGAGAGGTACTCAGGCAGAGGGGCTAAGGAGGGGGCTGTGTGCAAGAGATCCTAACAGGTCTTGGAATCTGGGAGAGGATGCTGGTTGGAGGGTGTGTTCAGAGTGTGTTTCTGTGAAAGATGGCTGGGAGATCAGGGCTCCTTTCTGGGCATTTCTTGGAAAGGCAGCCACTGGGGACAGCAAAATACAGCAAAGGAGCAGCACAGACTGGATCATGCTACCTTGTTTCAGTAGAAACAGCCCTGCTGGAAAGAAGCAATGCTCAGGTTGGGAAGTGGGGAAAGACAAGACACCAAGACTGGTCAGAGATAGGACGTGTCTTAGCCCTTGAAAACTTCAATTACCCTGGATATAGCTTCATCCTCACCCTCACAGGCTTTGGGTGATCCTCACCTGCTCCGGAAAGAAACAAGCCAGAGGAACAAGATAGTCCGGACACGTCCTTTGCCTTGGTGCTTCTGTCATCAGAATGACTGTTTTCTAGATCTCACCTTTTACCCAAGCCAAAAATGTTGACCCCACTGAAAACAGTGAGGACGTAACATTCACAAATATTTATCCACCTTTTCCAGGCTCAGGCTTTATCCTCCTCACCTTTGCCCCATGCTGACAAACAGGTCTTCCTCTTTGTGGCTAATGCTTTTCTTGTCCCATGTCTCTATCACCCTAAGGATTTCTCTAGACCTTAACTTATATCAGGAAAAATTCCTGTGTCTTCTAGGGCAGCAGAGGTGAAAGGCAGGGATACCAAGGATTTCTGGGTACGAGACCTCAAAATAGTTTTTTTTCAATGATCTTATCAGCTAGGGGAATGGGAAAATAGAACCTACTGGCAAGTCAGACCAAATCAGAGCAACTTTCCAGTTTTTACCTTAATTCCAGTGTAATACCCTAATTAAACACATTCATTACCATGATAGTACCTCTTTCTAAGCCTATATCAAAACCATAGGAATTAGGTTTCATTTCTCATCTAGGGATCTAGATGAGAAACTGCAGTCTGGAAAATAGGAAATGATAGCATATGGTGCCTAAAACTGGTACAAAGGTTCATAAATCACTGTGCCATACAGTTTCCTTTCTGGTGCTGTAACCTACTTCCGGGAGACAGCCAAAGGGGCCCTTGGTTCCTCCTCCTATCTTACTCCTCTCAGTGCCAGGAGGGGCCCCTAACAAGCAAGAAGAAATCAGAAAAAAAAATTAAAAGGGTTTCTAGAACAAGAGGCGTAAATCCTTGGAGCTACACATTCCAAAAAATTGGGAGAACTGGATCTAGAGGCATCCAACGCTGTTGCCTGAAATTCCTGGATCCAAAATCCATGGGGTACCTCAAGACTATTGCTTTTGTACAGCCCAGGGAAGCTTTGGATCCTTCAGATTCTCCCATTTCTGACTTGAGTTCACCATCCATAATGGGGCCCATCTCCACCTCTAGTTCGTCAGTTGGTGTCATCAACCTCAATATGAAAAAAATGCCTTTTTGTTGAAATTCCTTGAATTTCCAACTCTAGTTCCTTGGGAATGACAGGGGAAGACTGTGTAACTATGGTAGGGGAAAAGAAAAGTATTGGGGAGTTTGTCTCCGGAACTGAGGAATGACAGAGGGCGGAAGACAAAGGCATGTCCCCCTAATTAGACTTCCTACCTTTGTTCCAGCCCACATCTTCCACCTATTCCCATCAGTTGTCACTTCTTGGGTGCTGGGTTTTTGGGGGGTTTATTTTAATTAATAGTTTATTTTTTAGAGTAGTTTTAGGTTTACAGAAAAATTGAGCAGAAAGTATAGATAGTCCCCAAATATTCCCTTTCCACCAAGCCTTCAGTTTTCCCTATTATTAGCATCTTACATCAGTGTGGTACATTTGTTACAATTATATTATTTTAAAATTTTATTATTTTCATTATGTATTATTATTTACCTAAGTACATAGTTCATATTAGGGTTTAACTCTTTGCATCCTGTATGCAAAAAGTTAAACAAAATGCATATGATGTATCCGCCTTTACAGTATTGCACGAAATATTTTCACTACCCTAAAAATCTTGGGTGCTATTTTTAACTGCCATTCCCCATCAGCTTGATCTCCCACTGAAATAGGAGCCATCCAAGTAACTCCATTAGTACCCTAGGCCAAGGTACCATGTGGCCCTCTTCCTCCCTGTGCTGCTGCCATTCCTGACTCCTTGCAGCTGATGGGTGTGGGTCTATGTGGCTGTCACATATCCCACCCAGCCTAGAGCTGAAGCTGCAGAGCCAGGTGTCAATTTGGTAGTCAGCTTGCTCCGGAGCTTCCCTCAGTGTCAGGCCTATTAGATCCTGGGTAGAGAGGACATGTGGATGAAGCCAGGCAGAAACTTTAGGAGCCAGGTCTGGAAGCACCAGGGGTCTGCAGAGGGTGGCTGGGACCCTAGTGATGAGAGAAAGGACATCAGGGCCTTCACTGGGTGTTCCATATGAAGTGGCAGCCATGGGGTGTAACATGTAGCAGTATAGGATCAGAGTGCTGCTGGAGTGGGAGTTAGAAAAGACTGCTTCATTCATCCATCACCTCCAGGCTTCTGTAACTTTTAGGTCAGGACCCATGAAATGAGGGGGAGATGGAACCCAAATAATCCTACTTGGCCTCTCCTATTCCCAGGTTACCAGGAACTTCCTCTGCTCCACTTTCTACTTAAATATAAGAACACCAGATTGCCACTTAGTGAGATGTGAGCCTTCCTAGTAGGTTTTTCCACTCCCAGTGCTGCCTCATGGGAGGGAAACAAATGGAATGGCTTCTTGCCTCTGTGATCAGTAAGGGACCCAACTGTGGCAAATATTTTCATATTTGTACTGTGTTCTACTCAGATGCCCCTTCGAGAGAACATGTAATGAGGAGGCTATTCAGCTGACAGCCTTAGGCTTCTACTCCTTAGGATCTTCTGCTGTGTTCACACCAACATCACTCTCTCCAGATTGCTCTGAGCCAATGACTGGTGGAAGGTGCTAGGGCCAGCCCACGCCTGCCAGATATGAGACTTCTCAATCAAGTAATCGTTGCTTGGGGCTCACTACCAGCCTGGCCAAGATTTTGAGAACAGCACTAAAATTTTTCCCTTTCTCCTTTCATAGGTGTCTGTTATCCTGCTATACTCTCCCAATCCATGCCTGTTCTATCTCCCCTTTATCTTTCAAAGGCATTTCCTCCAATTAATCTCTTACATTTCTAATTCCACCGAGGCCTCTTCTTCCTAGACACATGTACTGACTGATCAGAGCTTGTCCAGTGATCAGACACAATAGCATGACACAATTTTCTTTTGACAGTATCTACCTCTTCCTCCTACATTTTCATTCTAGTTCAAGACACAGACCCAGGGAGACACAGAGGAGAAATCAGATGGCTGTGATTCAAATATATATGAATAGCTTTTTATTTCTCTTCTTATTTAAATACAGTAAAACCTTGGATTGTGAGTAACTTGGTTTGTGAGTGTCCCGCAAGATGAGCAAACATTTCTAAAACATTTTAATGTGGTAAATGAGCGATGTCTTGCAATATGAGTAGTTTGTTTCCGGAACGATTTATGCTCGCAAACCAAGGTATTACTGTATTTGAAAAGTACTGGGTAAATAAATGGAAAAAGACAGCAATATTTCTTGTGCCTAATCAAAGTAAATGGTCTATAGTTAAGTGAAACTAGAAGAAATTGGGGCTGGAAGTTTCAAAGAGGACTGGAAGGTCAGGGCCCCTTTGGGGGCATTTTTTTTTTTTTTTTAAGAAGGCAGCTACTGGGGACAGCAAGGCATAGCAAAAGAGCAGCACAGCCTGGGGCACGGTGGCTCAGCAGGAACAGCCCTGCTGGAAAGAAGGAATGCTCAGGTTGGGAAGTGGGGAAAGAAGAGACATCATGATTGGTCAGAGCTAGGAAGTGTCTTAGCCCTTAAAAACTTCAATTACCTTAGACATATAGCTTCACATTTAATTCAATAGCAAACACAAACCAAACACATTCATTCTAGGCTGTGGAAGGTAAAAAAAAACACAAAAAATAAAAAACAAACCAAGCCAGAGAAACAAGACATCAAAGTAACTTTACCTGATCTGAATGGCTATTCTGAATCTCACCTTTACTGTACCTCAGCTGGTTTCCAAGAACAAGGACGCACATGACAATTGCAATATTTACCCATTGCCTTTTTGCCTAGACTTTGTCCTCCTCTATGCCCCGTGGTGACGAACTGGCTTTTTCTCCCTTTGTGGCTCATGTATCTTCCTATTGCAAACTATCGTGTCCCTAAAGATTTATCCTAGACAAAGGATCTTGGAGTAAGAATATTTTTCTGTGTCTTCTTTAGAGAAAGCAGGAGAAAAGGGAAGGATAATGGTCTCTTTTAACCATAATAAAGTTCTGCTTCCAAGAACATAGCTGGTGGAGGGCTGAGATACTCGACAGATTGGCAAGTCAGATCAAATTGGCAACTTTTAATTTTATATGTTTAATCCAATACCAAACACATATCATCTGTAGAGCACTGCATCCCAACTCCACCTCAAATGTAGGAATTGAGCTCAATCTGGTGTCTAGGAGGTGAACACAGGAAAGAAAATGAGGATGGGAGCATCTGGTGCGCCTTTTAAAAATGGTGTCCCGTTACAAAGTTCCCAACTGGTGCTGTGACCCACCTCCAGCAGAAAGCCAAAAGGAACAGACCAATAAGAGGGGTCGGGTCCAAGGTGCCTTTTGTATTTCACTCACTCCTCTCATTTGCTAAGGGGCACTAATAACCCAAATAAATGGTTCCTAGAAGTGGAGTAAGTCTCCTGAGAGCTGCTGAGGCATACTGAGAAAATGGGAGAAGCAACAAGTGACTGCAGAGGAGTCCAACACTGTTGCCTGAACTTCCTGGACCCTATATCCATGGAGAAGCCTAAGACTCTACTGCTTCTGTCCAGTAAGAGAAGTTTCTGGGGCCTGTATGACTCTCCCAGCTCTGATTTAAGCTCACCACCTAAAAACGGGTCATTCTCTATCCCTATGCTTCTGGCTCTTCAGTCGTCCTCATCGTCATCCTCAATCTGAAACCGTTTCTTCTTTTGGATTCCTGGGGCTCCCAGTTTGGGCGCTGTGGGAATGACAGGGGCGAGAAGGCCAAGACCATCTGAATATGTTAAAGGAGAAGGAGGGGGTTTATGCCCTCCTTTAGCCCCAGGATTGAAGAGAAGGGTGCCAGAGGTTAGAAGAAAGGTCCCAGATTCCCCACCTTTGCTCCTGCCCTCATCTTCCTCCTGCTCCTCATCGCTGTCCAGCAATTGTCGCTTCCTGGGTGCCACTTTCAGCTGCTCGTTCCCACCAGCGGTCCCTTCCTCTGAAATAACCATGAGCCGCAAAATGAGGGAGCTGTGCCCTCATAGTCTCAAAATACTCTATCAGCCTCTAAATCAACATGGAGGCATGTAGTAGGTACTCAATAGCTAAGAGGCCCCTCTATTACCTTCTGGGGACACCAGGCCTGCTTTCTTTCTTTGGGCTAATGAGAGGGCCCTCAGGGCTTGCGCTCGGTGGTCCTTTCGGTGCTCCTCCTCGGGGCCTTGCTCTCCAGGGACTTTAGGGTCTGGCCCTGGCTGGTGCTCCTCCTCTTCCTCTGGTTGACTCAAAGAAGCTGCTATCCTCCGGAGCTGGGTGGGGCTCAGCTTGGCTGGAATTCGCCAGAAGGTTTCCTACAGGGGCAGAGAAGTTGAACATGAGAGCAATGGAAAAGGACCAGCCTCTAGTCGCCAGATTTTATTATTCATTGAATGAATATGACACTGCATTGGTGACAATCCATAGGGCTGTGAACTCTGCTTACTGCTTCTTTATCCAATACATGCCCAATGACCAGCATGGGGCCTACTATATTAAGAGGTCCCCAGTAAATATAGTTGTTAATTGAATAAATTAATGAATCCTGGGGATCTAAAAAGGATTATATAATCCCTGCTCTCAAGGAACTCACAATCTAATGGGAGAAAGAATCAATGTAGTCTAACACCATAGGACTGGAACAATACCAAAGGAATGAACAAATCAAAGCTGCCAAAGTGATTACTTTTGCTTCAGGGGTTGAAAGTAATAGGGACCGCTTCTCTGAGGAGGTGACAACTGAAACAACTCTTACAGGTTGGGTGGAGGATCATCAGGAAGATGGGTGATGTGTGTGTTGCCTTGTGTGTGGGTTGGAGCCTTCCAGTAGAGGGACTGGCATGATTAACTGTTTCAGCGGTTCTCAACCTGTGGGTCACGACCCCTTTGGGGGTCGAACGACCCTTTCACAGGGGTCGCCTAAGACCATTGGAACACAAAAAGATATTTACATTACGATTCATAACAGTAGCAAAATTACAGTTATAGAGTAGCAACTAAAACAATTTTATGGTTGGGGGTCACCACAACATGAGGAACTGTATTAAGGGGTCGCAGCATTAGGAAGGTTGAGAACCGCTGAACTGTTTGGAGGTATGAAAAAGCCCACTATTTGGAGAATGGAAAGTAATCCGGGATGAGTATGGTATAAGGTAGGTGTGTGGGTGGTGTGGCCATGAGGCTGCGAAGACTGGCCAAGGCCAGGCACACTGCTCAGAGGCTCTGGCCTCTGTCTTACAAACAGTGGGGAACCATCAAGTGCTCTGGACAGGGGAGTGATATAATCCAAACTGTATTTTAGCAAGATAACTCAGGGGACATGACAGCATGAATGGACTTAGTGGAAGGGGCGATTGCAGAGAGGAAAACTAGCATGATGGGTGCTGCAGGAGTGTCAGTCAGCGATGACAGGAAATGAGGAGAGATGGCACTTACAACGAAGAGGAGATATATTTTGAAATGACACCAACACGCCATGGTTGATACTGTAACTGGTGTATTTACCTCTGAGGCAGGAGGCCGAACCCCTAGCTTGTGCAACAACTGCTGAAACTCTTTACTTTCCATTGCTTCCTCATTCTCTTCTGTTAGCGGCACCAATGGAATTGGCTGGGAGCAGCCTAGAACAGGGTCAAAAGTCCCATGGTGAAGATGTGAAGAAAGAGTTGGTTATCTATCCCATGACCAGGTTTCCAGCGGCTCCCAGTGCCCCAGTCTTCTTGAAACCATCATTTACCCACTCACCATCCTCTTCCCGATCATCTGCTGCTCGAATCAGGCAGTTCTGGAGCCATAGGATCGGAGCAGAAAAGCCTAAGGGAAGGAGGAAACCTTCTAATTAGCCCATACACTCAACTCCTCCTCTACCTGAGACACCTCTCCCAGCCCAAGCCCTCACCTTCCTGATGCAGGCTTTGTCCAAGCTTTTCAGTTGAAAGGACTGAGCTACCCTGGGGGGCTTGTTCTGCTTCTGAGCCCTCCTCTTTCTCTTCGTCCTCTTCACTCTCTTCCTCTGATGGGTTCTCGTCTTCTTCCAGATCTTCCTGGCAAAAATCTTTCAGGGACTCTTCTTCATTAGGCTAAAATTCAATGAGGTTGGAAATGAAAAAAGGAGACAAGATGAGGAACTTAGTGGCGCCCTCTGGTTCCTGACCACCCCACTGGGGGAACCTAGTCAGAACAGCCTGAAGCAGGAAGAATCTGGGGGAGCTACTTCTAAGGAGCACTTCAGGGGGAATGGACCCATGCCAGCAGAACCAGGAAGACTGTTACCAAGCTCGAGGATGCCAACTTCTTCCGGCGTTTCTTGTATAGCTCGCGCCGCTCAGCCACCAGTCCCAGAGCCAGCAGTTTATCCACTATTCTGGCCCGTGAGCGTTTGGCTGTGATATTCTTCATGATATGACCCAGGATATCTATAAAGAGAGAAAGTATGAATACCCAAGAGCAGTAGGGGAAAGGGAAGTAAAGGAAATCAGAGCTGTAACAGAAAGCACAGCTCTTTGGAAAGAGGCTAGTGAGTCATTCAAAACTGATACCATAAATATACTAAGTGGAGAGAAGGGATGGGATAGCCGTACCTGGGAAGAAGAGGTGGGGGAGAGAAATGGATAGCTTGGCTCTCATCTCAGAAGTTCCCTGAGCTTCGACCTTACTTACCATCTGAGTCCTGGAACTCCTCAAAAAGCCGCTGCAGCTCCTGCTCCTGATCTTCTGTCCACAGTACAATATGAGTTCCTTTCCTGTTTAGAGAGGTATCAGTGGAAAAGGGGGCCAAGGCAGTGAACAGAGGATTCCCCATCTCAGTTCCCTCCAGAGCATGTGCCTCCTTTTACCTTTGGAAGTCCTTGACACTGTTAGCCAGTCCCAGCCGCACCAGATGGTGGATAACCTGCTTGCGTGTTCGAGGAGCAGTCTTCAGGTGTGCCAAGATGGTGTCCACCACATCCTGACCTGAGGTGGAGGAGGAACGAGGCAGTAAAGAGGAGTCCTGGAGCTCAGGCTGCCCTCCTCGTTAACTCTTCAGATCTCAAGGCCTCATACCTTCTACATCCTTATGGGCAAGGTACAGTTCCTGAAGCTGGGCCTCCTCCTCTGGGCTCCACATAGGGGGTTTGCGACTAGAAGACCTAAAGGGGGAAAGGGGATGGAGAGCATGTAGGTTGTTGGCCCAAAGAGGAGACCAAAGGCCCCCTCTGGTCAGTTCTACAAGGGTCAAGAAAGATGGCACAGGTACCTCAAAGAAGCCAGCCAGCAGAGGCCTAAGGTGTGCCACCTTTCTCTCACTCTCTTCCCACTTAAGAACCCAACAGTCAAATTTAGAGATTTTCCAGGTTGGGCCTATGGAACCTGACACTATGGAACCAGGTTGGGCCTATGGAACCTGCCGGCACTGAGAGCATTACAGGAAAAAGAGAGAAGTGGGAAAGGAGAAGAGCTGAGATACTAAGAGAAAGAGGCCAAATATTCTGATGAATCCTTATGGCTCTCCAGCACATTCTGGGACAGGGCACATATAGACTCTCCCTGGGGGGGACACCCTACTCCCATGAAGGCTGGAGAAGGAAACTAGAGTAGACAGGAGACTGAGGCTCCAGTCCCATTCCTCTCTTGGATGACCTTAGGTAAAGCATTTCACCTTCAGGGCTTATTTTCTCACCTATGAAAGGGAAAGAATGGTTACACTAACTAATCTGCACGCTCTTCCAGCTTTGACACTGTGGCTGTGTCACCCACCTCTCCTGCCCATCCTTTCCCATCCTTGAGCTCACCCGCCATCCATGGAGCCATAGCCCTCAGTCATCTCTCGAACCACAGCTGTGTTCTTCCAGAACAGCAGCTCCACAAAGGCTTTTTGGTTGACTGCAGCCAACGCAAAGAACTTGCCCACGATGTATTTGGCAAAAGTCACTAGCTCCTGTGGGAGAGGGAGGCTGCTGTTAGGCCTCTGGCCTAAATGTATCACAAACGTGGCACTCTTAAGTATTTTGCCGACACTTGTTCCCAGATGCCCCCTCCTCACTCAGACTCTCTTTTCTACCCTTCCCCACACAGCTCCTCGGCCTGCCTACTTCCTCACCATTCTCTCGTCTCTCAGCCCTTGACACCACTCAGTGCCCTTTATCTCCTGAAGACTATCCTTTTACCTAGGACTCCCCTACGCCTCCAGACCCCCATTTCTTAGTATCCCCTCACTTTATAGGCCCCAGCGGCAGGGTCACTAAGCAGACGATTGAAGAGGCAGAAGAGTGAGAGCTGGAAAAGCAGGGCTTCCATTTTGAGGTCATGGGCCAGCCGGTGCAGCATCTTGACAATGCAGTGGTTAGTATGGACACTGTTCTGCTGGTAGCTCCGCAGCAGCAGCACGTAGGCTCGGACGACAGTTGAGCTGGCAAAGCTGCACCAAGACAGGGAGGGAGAGGGTGTCAGCATAAGACACTGCCTACCTCACAGCCCCACGATCTCTACCTTGGGATCAACTCGGTCCTCCTGGCCTGTACCGTTTCAGGTAGTCCAGAAAATTAAATTCTTTCTCTGACACCTGGACCACTTGCAATTCTTCCTCCTCCTCTTCCTCTTCCTCCTCTGCCCCTTGCTCCTCTGTCCCTTGCTGCCCTATAGGAAGAGTGAGGATTAGAGTCTCTGGTGCCAGAGAAGCCCTAGGAGAGAGATGCGAAGGGAACGGAGGCTCACGGGGAAGTGGAGCACTGAGGATTTGTTTCAGCAGCTGGGTCTCTTCCTCTGGGGAAATGTCTTGAGAGCCAAACACATCTCCTTCTGGCCATACCTCCCTGGAACACAAAGATAAAAAAGGCTTAACCAGAGGGAATTTGAGTTATAATTTGAAGTGGAAGAAGGAATTTAGACTTGTCAGTTGGAAAGAGAATGCAAACTGTTACCTCAAAGATGAAGCAAAGACTCTAGGGGAATTTCCCCCCGTAAGTCACATTGAAATGAACATCATATAAGAACAAAACGCAAACAATCTAAATGTTTGACATGTGGTTGAACAAATGAGCATATTCACATAATGGTGTTTTAAAGCCATTAACAATTACAGAAATACATCTGATGAGAAATGATGCTCCCGATATATTGAGAAACGAAAAAATACTGTAAATCAGTATGTGCAATATTTCATTTTTGTAAAAGAAGGTGTATATGATATGTCTATATATTACACAGAGGAAAAAAACCTCTAGATGATAACTCATCAAAATGTGAATGATTGCTATCTTTGGCTCATATAATTATCTTCCCCCCCCTAATTAACTGTGCTGTTTTTGTTTTATCAAACAACAAAACTCCCTGATAGACCATAGCTCCCCAGGACGCAGTGCTCGGTATAGAGTCCCAGTGCTTCTGATAGGACTTCTCTCTATTAAAGACTGAGAACTCTGTACCACAGTAAAAGCCTCCCCTTGCCCCACAAAAGCCCAGGAGCTGGATCTAGGATGGGTGGGCAGGGTTCTTACCGGGCAGACCTAAGGAGGGTCAGGGCCTGTGAGGCCTGGCCAGCCAGCAGACAGTCTTGGATCCGCACCATGGCTTCTGCCCGCTGCTCTTCCACTGGCACCTCTGAGGCCGCATCAAAGGGAACCATGGAGTCTAAACTGAGCCCAGGATCCTAGGGAGGAATTAAGGCTGTGGGAACAGAGAGGAGGGAAACCCAGACAGCCACCCCAGAGCACTACCCTCAAGAAGCACTGGGTTTCTGCAACTACCTACCTGGATACAGCACTGTAGCTGCTCGGCCAGCAATGGCCACACAGCCTCCAGTTCCTCTGGGCTATAAGGAGTAGTACCAGAAGCAATGGGCTGACCTAGGGCCTTCTTTTTCTTCTTTCTCTTCTTTCGTTTGTTCTACAGAGAAAGAACTATGTTAGGATGGGAGGAGAGTTAAGGAGGCCTTTTCCCCACCAGTGTCTCCTTTTTTTTAAAGATTTTATTGGGGAATTGGGGGAGGGGAACAGTGCTAGGGAATTGGGGGGGGGGAACAGACAAGTTGCTGTCGTTTTGTTCTTCAGTCTAATTGTGGAGGACGCTGCTTCACTGGCCCATGTTGGCATCATCATTGCGCTCTTCCTGGGCGAGGCAGATCAGTCGCCGGCTTCTGGACGGCCGCTCACTGCGGCTGCTGGCTGCTCACACTGGCTGCTGGCTACACACGGTAGCCCATGGCAACCCACTGCCACAGGGGCTGGAGCCTACGCCGTCGCTGGCGACTCACGGCAGCCCAGCTCCAGTTGTGCTGTTGTTCACCATCTTAGCTGTAGAGGGCAGTGTCACTGGCCCCCATGTGGGATCCGAACCAGGGCCCTGCTGCTCAGAGCCAGCTCTTAACCAACGTGCCACTTGGCCAGCCCTCATCAGTGTCTTCTCAAGTAATTAGATGTCTGAATTAGACATTCAGAGTGACCACTGTGTTACTCAAAGGCAACAGGGAAGCAACAGTGAATAGCGTTTTTCCTTGCCCTTAAGGAGCTTGTGAGGGACACAGGTCCGTAGATAGGTAAAGTACATTTCAGCCTAGATAAGACCTTGAATGTGGATGAGCATAAAATGCCATGGCACAACACAGGACAGCAATTGACTCATTTCTTGTGGGTCAGAGCTTTCCCAAAAGCAGTGGTATCTTAAGCAAAAGTCTATAGAATAAACAGATTTGCTATCAGGATAAGCAATTCGACATGAAAAGGCTTTGTAAAATGCAAAGCACTACGTAAATATAGCCTACAATTTTTTCTCCTGAAAAGCAGGAGAGTGAGAATCAATACCCCTGCCCTGCTCCCCCAAGTCATGGCTGTGAACCAGTCTTTGGTATGGGCCAACAAGATGAGCTATGAGCCCTTAAGGTTCATACTCTATGCAAGGAACTGATAATTAAGCACACCACAGGTTAGGAGTGTGAGCTTTGAACTCCAGATCTGGATTCAAGAATGGATGCCAGCCAATTACTGGTAAACGTTGGACAAGTTGTTAACTACTCTATGTCCTAGTACTATTTTGAGGATTACAAGAAAACCCTAACACATCGTCAGACAGATAGTACACACAATACAATAGAGCCCTGGGTGTAAGAATACCTCTCAGGAAAGTCTCACTGATACTACTTGCCCCTTTTAAGTCTAGCTCTGACTGAATTTTAAGCTGTGGCAAATAGAACTATGGGAAATTTTTTACAAAGCAGAGTCCCTGTGTCTCCAGGATACAAATTCCTTGAGGTTTTCTTCTTGCGCCAGACTTTTCATTTATTATTTCACTTCAGGCTCAAGGAGAGATATTACAACTAACTTTAAGAATCTGGAGACTGACATGAGCAGCTTGGGTTATTTTAACAGTAATTAATTAATATAAGATGAGATCCCAGGCCTTCTGACTTTCAATTTAAGGCTCTTTCTATCTCACTACAGTGTTTCAAAAATATAACCAGGAAATATCACAACATAATTACTAAATTCTAAAATTATGAGCCCCCATAGTTTATGTGCTTAGCATGTAGTAGGTATTCAATAAATGTCTCCTCAATGAATTAAGATATTTATGGCCCATCAGGGATTAGTCTAACAAAAGAAGGAAACTATAGTAGACTCACATCGGCAACACCAACAAACTTCTTGTCCTCTTAGTTCAGAGTAGTTCTAACAGATCAGCTTAAGCTACAGAAAACATGGGGAGAAGGAGCCCTGTGCTCCACCCTTCCCTCCCAGCTCTTTCCACATCCTGGGGCTGCCCAGTACCTGCACCACCAGGTTCCCACGGCTCCGACAGAACCGCTCCAACATCTTGAGGAAGAGGTGGGTGGTTTCCACCAAGTCACGAAGGAAAGAGCGGGGCTGGACTCTTTCATCAAACTTTCGAAATAGTGCCAGGAATAGTTCTCGATACTCCATCACATAGAAAATGTTGTCTAGAAATGGGGAAGAGAAAGGATTGGAACGACCTGTCTGGAAAGTCTGCGAAAAGGGGTTGGGTGAAGTTGGGACTGGGAATCATGAGATGCTGGTCAAGAAATGGGGAAGGCTGGGATCAGAGACCAAGCCAGGGCCTCACTCTTGATGATGCGGCTGCTCTCCCTCACAGCCTCATCTGGGGACATGTCCATTTCATTGACTGTGGCCAGCAGCTCCTGATAGGCCTTCAGAGCCAGGTGCATCCTGCGAGATGAGGGAAAGAGGAGGACAATTTAAGATACAGGCTCATGGAAACAGTACCACCCCTCTGCGTCCCCTCTCCCCGCAAAAAATAGTGCCATCAAAAGCAGAATGACCCAGCTGCACACCTTAAATTAATATAAAATAATATTGAATGTTAACTGTAATTGAAAAATTAAAAAGGGAGGGGAGGTCAAGGGGAATAAGAGGTTCAAATTTTCAGGTATGAAACAAATAAGTCTCGAAAGTTTGATGAAAGAATCCAGCCCCGCTCTTTCCTTCGTGACTTGGTGGAAACCACCCACCTCTTCCTCAAGATGTTGGAGCGGTTCTGTCGGAGCCGTGGGAACCTGGTGGTGCAGGTACTGGGCAGCCCCAGGATGTGGAAAGAGCTGGGAGGGAAGGGTGGAGCACAGGGCTCCTTCTCCCCATGTTTTCTGTAGCTTAAGCTGATCTGTTAGAACTACTCTGAACTAAGAGGACAAGAAGTTTGTTGGTGTTGCCGATGTGAGTCTACTATAGTTTCCTTCTTTTGTTAGACTAATCCCTGATGGGCCATAAATATCTTAATTCATTGAGACATTTATTGAATACCTACTACATGCTAAGCACATAAACTATGGGGGCTCATAACTTTAGAATCCAGTAATTATGTTGTGATATTTCCTGGTTATATTTTTGAAACACTGTAGTGAGATAGAAAGAGCCTTAAATTGAAAGTCAGTAGGTCTGGGACCTAGTCAATAATATTGTGATAGGGGCCGGCTGAGTGACTCAGTTGATTAAGAGCTCGCTGAAGAGTGCGAGCTCTGAGCAACAGCAGTTCGATTCCCGGCCCGAGCTGAGCTGCCACTGAGCTGCCAACAGGTGGTAGGGTGGCTCAGCTAAAAAAAATAAAAATAAAAATAATATTGTGATAGCATGTATGGTGTCAGATGGTTGCTGGACTTATGGTGATCTTCAGGTATATATAATACATGTTGAACCACTATGGTGTACAACCTGATGCTGATATAATGTTATATGTTGGTATATGTACATATATATATATATATACACACACATATATATATATTGGATTTTATTGGGGAAGAAAAACAGTGTTGCGGAATTGGGGAAGCGGAAGAGCCAAGTTGTTGTCCTTCAATCTTAGTTGTGGAGGGCACAGCAAGCTCAGTTCCAAGTTCAGTCGCGCTGCTCAGCTCAAGGTGCTGTGTTCAATTAGTTGCGGGTAGGCGTAGCCACCATCCCATGAGGGAGTTGAACTGGCAGCCTTGCTGTTAAGAACGCATGCTCTATCCTGAGCCACCCAGATGGCCGCTCAGCTCAAGGTGCCAAGCTCAGTCTTCAGTTGCAGGTAGGTATCGCCCACCATTCAAACTGGCAGCCTTGTTGTTAGGAGCACGTGCTCTCACCAGCTGAGCCGTCCTGCCACCTGTTGGCAGCTCAGCGGCAGCTCAGCTCAGGGCGCAGCATCACTGGCCCATGTGGGAATTGAACCGGAGACCCTGTTGCTCAGAGCTCGTGCTCTTGGGCAAGCTCTTAACCAACTGAGTCACTTGGACAGCCCGGTTATATTTTTTAATAAATAAAAAACTTAAAACAAAACAGAATGACCCAGCCAGTTCTCGCTCCTCAGCCTGACCACCTTAATCCTGAAACCAAAGCAAGTACCATCTAGAATTCAGGCATTCAGATTCCCAGCCTGGCCAAGTTGCCCACTGTGACTCCAATTCTCAGCCCACTCACCGGCGTGCCCAGGAGGCAGCTTCCTTGCGATCAGTCAGCATCATCTCATAGTAGTTGGTGAGGTTCTGTTCAATGAAGTGGAAGGTACGAACACTTAGGGTCTCAGAGACCAGGTCTGGCCTGAAGGAGGCAGCTCGGTTGAAGGCCATGAAGAAAGCCAACGCCCACATGTAGTAGGTCTCATCATGCTGCTGAGCTTTCTCCCGAAGCAGGTTATCCTAATGTCCAGGGAAAAAAGACCGTTCCATGACCTCGGGCTTCTCATTTCCTCCTGTCCTATGATGATAGGGTGGACCCTGAACACCACTGTAACAATATTCTAGGATCCACAATTTCCATCCCTTTTTTGTTCTCCCCAGGTCTCTCTACATTCCTTTCCCCTTCCTCTGGGGTGATTTTCTCTAGAGGCTTTTTTGGGTCATGCCAATAATCCACTCCCCTCCTGACATCGTTATCATCTCTTAGGGACACCCTACACCCTTCCCACCTACTAGTCCACGCACCAGGGTCAGCCTCCCATAGGCTCCTCCTCAGGTTGCCCTTCTTACCTACTGTTGGCCCCATCACCTCTCTATTCCTTCCTTCCTAGGTTCTCACCTTCACCGAGCCCAGGAGCCGGTTATAACAGTTCTCCAGGAACTCAGAGCAGAAGTCTCTGAGGAAGAGTCTCACATTGAGGGCAGAGCGTCGCTGAATGGACAGCTCCTGGGCAGCCTGGCGACGTTTAGGCACTCTTCGGGGCTGCTTTCCCAAATCTGAACTGTAGTTTCGGAGCTGGGGGTGTGGGTTGGGGATTAGAATTACTCCAAACCACCACCCTCCCCTTGCAGCTCTTTCCACATCCCTGGTTCTGTCATTTTCTCAGAAGAAACTTAGAAAGTTCTCTCTCTCTGGTACTAAGCAAAGATAGAGGTCAAGACAGTAATACCAGAGGCTCTATTTCTCCTACTGTCTCTAACTCTGTAAGCCCCCAAACAGAGAAGCTTTACCTCCAGAAATGTTTACCCTACTTAGGCACCCCCAACTCCATAATACAGCGTTCCTACCCCAGGTGGGAGCATACGCACATTGTGGAGACCTTTGTGAAAGATGAGGTCCCTCTCTCCAATGGATTTCAACCCCTGGACAATGTAGGAGCCCCCAAATCGAGAATGCCTGCAGGGAAAAAAAAAGTCTAGGGTGATTCTTCAATTCTCTAGACGCTTTATCCCCATTTCTCTTTCATCAGCACATCAGAGTGTTATAACCGCAAAATGTTACCTGGTCACCACTGTATTAGAAGTTGGCCCAAGCCCTCAGTATTCCATAGTTAAGGAATGGGAACGCGGATAGAGCAGCTTTCTGCCACTCACCTGTTGCCGCGCTGAAGGGCTCGAGTCTTCTTTTCTGCCATCTCTCGTTGGCGCAACACCTCCAGTTCTGCCACATCTGTGCTCCGCTCCTGAGCTACGCGCCCCTGTCCTACTCCTGCCAGCTGCTCAGGGTTCTAGATTTGGAACAAGGAGGGAATAGTCATAAGGATGGTCATTCCTTATTCTGAGTTCACTCCTGCTGGGGACAGAAAGAGTGAATGAAGTAGGGTTGTTGATGGGACCCCATACTCAAGACATGGCTACTCTTGTTACCCACCTTCCCCCAGAGAATTCAGCCATTATTATAAGAGCAATTCTGGCTGAACAGTGGAAAAGCACATGGGTGAAGGGGACTGAAATAACAGGCCAGGGTCACACCTGGTCACGAAACATAAGGGAGATGATCTCTAGCACATGTAGGCTCCACTGCTGCTCAGCGGACGAGCTGGCCAGAAAGAGGAGCAGGTCGTCCAGGCCACTGAGGTGAATCGCCCAGAGAAGCTGGTCATGGACACTGGCGTCATCATCGATCCTCTGAGCAGCGAGTGGTGAGGGGAGAAAGGGAGGTCAGTCAGTTCCGCTGCCCTGCCTTGAGGTTCTCCGTCTCATTCCTTGAGCAAAGTTCCCGCCCCCAGGCTTGTCAGAGGACAGAAAAGCGAAACAGGGCAGCTCAACCTAACCTAGCACAAGAACTCAGACAACACAAGACCCTCTCACCTTCTCCTGATCAAGGTTGGCTGGGACGTGGAGAATATTTCTGACCAGCAGCAGGATCCGCTCAATCAGCAAGTTGTCTTCCTCCTGCCGTTCCTCCCAGCCCTAGTCAGAAGGAGAGTTAGAAGAAGAGACTCCCTGTAGAAGGCAGGAAGCATCTACCCTGGCTGGGGGACCAAGGCACAGCGGAGAATCAGGATTAAAAAGAAAGAAAAGAAAGACTTCGAGCAGCCCCGAGGCAGTCAGACAATGGATTGGACAATTATCCCAAGGACTGGGACCGTATCTCCAAACTCAGCCTGGCCTGACAATGCCTGGCCTGGGGCTCTGCCCAGAGGAGGAGCAAGGTGCTAACTGTCCTTGGGATCTTGCAAAGTGGAGCGTCACTCACCAGCTGCAGCAGCTCATACAAGGTTTCACTGAGGACTCCAAAAGCCTTTTCACTGGCAAAAGCCTACAAAATCAGGGAATGGACCTTAAGTAGCACTAGCGTCCACTTTCTCCTTCCCTACTGCCCCCAAATTCTGCCCCAGGGACCTCTGAAGAAAAACCTCACCTCTTTGTAGGCCTGCAAGTAAGCAAGCACCTGCAGAAAATGGTGCCGGAAGCTAGGCTCCTTGGGCACACTGCCAAAACAGAGCAAGGCTGGCTGTGTCAAGTTCACCATCAGCCTGGGGAGACAATGAAGGAGGGAGAAGTTGTTTCCTCACCACACACAAATACTGAAATCTATCAGCTCAAACACCAAAGGCTGGCACATGGTGGAAGTTAAAAAGCTGGGGGACCAACCTGATAACAGCATCAAAGAGAGGCTTGTCCTGGCTGTGCTGGGTAAGGATGGGTAGAAGGTCACTCTGCAGGATCTGGGCTGCCCCCAGCTGCTGTCGTACATCTCGCGTCTCATCCTCATGTCTCAAGTAGCGGATCAAATCCTTGACACTCTCTTCAGGAACAGAATAAATACTTACATAGAACCCTGGAAGAAGCTCCCCCAGACCCACGTGCTTTTCATACCCATGGTTTGAGAAATTCAACTCAAGCAAATTTTTTACGTGTTTCCTCAGAAAGGTACTCACCTAAACAATCTGGTTCCTTGTGGTAAGTGTCTCCTTCCAAGTACCCAAGGGCACTACATGTGGCTAGAAGTTCACAATTCATCATGAACAAGGCCATACATCAGTGGACCAGCCAAAAGAGGTAAGGCAGTTGGATACAGGGGAGACAGACATGACAAAGCCTGCAGAGACAGGGAAAGGTAACAAATGTGGGGTCTTCTGCATGAAAGACAGAGGGGAGAACAGGACAGGGACCTAATGCTCAGATTATTCTGAACAAGATCCTCAAAGGTTTCACTTTTGTCAGAACCAAAAATGCTGTTTCCAATCCCTGGGAAAGCTTTAACTTAAGGCTTCTACCTGATTAAAACCAAAGAGGCTGCAAGCCTAAGAATGAAGCACCTGCCCCATGCTCTAACTTGGTCTGAAACTGTAGAAATTGTCTGTTTCAGAGTCAAGGTAACCTAGTAGAAAGGTTGGTCAGAGAAAGGCATCAACTCTGACACTTTCACCCTGAGAGCTCTGCAGCCTTTTGGAGGAAGGGGGCTGTGAATGAGCTTCCCTCTCCCTTAAAATTACCAGACCCAGCCCCTGCACCTTCCACAGCCTTTCCACAGCTCTTGTATACCACAAGAATTACGACAACCCTCACCACACAGTGATTCCACTTAGAATCTGATCTACCCTAGGAGCCCAGAGGTTCTGAGACACTGGGGGTGTGTAGAGAAGGTTCCTTTACTCTCCTCCTGAAAGTTACTCTTAAGCTTTGGTAATCTTTGTAGAAGCCAGCCTCTAATAGAATGTGTGCGGAAAAGAAGTAAATAGGAACTGGTTAAATTCCCTGTGCCTCTCCCCAGAAGAACCATCTTCCTTTTCCGAAGCATGCTACCTTTTTATTAAGATCCCTAAACCCTCATCAGATAATCAATTAAGAAGAGATACAGAACCCTGGATATTTCAGAACCTGATATTAATAACGCAGACACACACAAACACATTACATTCGCCACCCTGCTCCTTGGGAAATTGGGAATACTCACCAATCTTGTCTCCTTGACACAGTCAGCCATACTGCTGTTAGCTATGGCAGCTTCCTCTAAAAAGGCCTGCTGCATACGTACTTCTAGCCCGTAACTCTACCTCAGTTCCCCCTACAGGAAATGGGTAGTACCCAAAAGACTAAGGTTTAATGTCTGATGTTATCTTCTGGCTTTTTTTAAAAAAGATTTTTATTGGGGAATTGGGGGGATGGGAACAATGCTGGGGAACCGGGAGAAGGGGAACAGACAACTTGCTGTCATTTTTTGTTCTTCAGTCTAGTCGTGGAGGACGTCGCCCCACTGGCCCAAGTTGGCACCATCATTGCGCTCTTCTCTGGCGAGGCAGATCAGTCGCCGGCTTCTGGACAGCCGCTCACTGCCGCTCACGCTGGCTGCCGGCTACATACGGTAGCCCACGGCAATCCACTGCCACAGGGGCTGCAGCCTACGCCGTCGCTGGTGACCCACGGCAGCCCAGCTCCAGGTTGAGCTGCCGTTCCGCATCTTAGCTGTAGAGGGCAGTGTCACTGGCCCTCATATGTGGGATCCGAACCGGGGCCCTCTGAGGTCCCAAGCCAGTTCTTAACCAACGCGCCACTCGGCCGGCCCTCTTCTGGCTTTTATGTAACTGGTCTACTTCTACAGGTTGCCTGCTATCTCTCTACCCCCACCCAGTGCTAACCTACTTTCTGACCACTCAGCCCAGCAAGAGTGAGCCAGTAAAACACTCACTGGAAGACCAGGAAGATTGAAGGGAGACTTTCCTTCGCTGCCCTTTCTCATGGGACCTGCAGACCCTGAGACCTGGGCGATCTCTGACTCTCCTCAAAGATACATCCAGCTTTTTCAGACAGACCACTGGTGTGTACATATATGTTCTCTCTCTCACACATACAAACACACGCACACACGCACGCTCACACCCACCCAGACTAGACTGAAGGGTTTCCCTGTCTGCACTCGCCAAGTGGCAGCCTAGAAAGCTGACAAAAACAGACAGCAGAGCTGGCTATAAAGTTGCTGAGTCGGCACATCCTCCTCAAAATAAGACACATAATCACATTCTGCCACTAAAAGGGGTGAAATTATAAAGTTTTCTAACAGCAGAGATAAAGTCATGTCTGGAAGGCTCCCTGACATCCTCCAAGCTTCCCTCCTCCATTGTAGACCAATTCTAAGTAAAGATTAATATTTGTAAAATTGGCCCCAGCAGAGCACTCAACCTCTACCTACCACATACCACTTTACCTGAAAGGCAAAAATAACAAAAGTGAGTGGTAACAGCTACCTGTTACCTGGCTACCAAAATAAGGGGGGTGAGGAGGAGGAGAGGGGAGCAGATAAGGAAGGAGCCATCCTTGCAGATGCGAGAAGGGAAGAGGTTCTGTAAGAGACCCAGGACTTCAGGTTCTAATCTCCTGCGGTTTGGACACAAGCAGAGCAACAGAAAAGAAGAAGAAATGGGTCAGATGCCCTATTGTAAAGCTCCCAGGCCAGGGGTCATGAAGCAAGCTGGCAGTCTTGGGCCTATTCATTAGAACTGGAATAAAAGCACTCTCAACAGGAGTTTCAGCCCTCCCTGGTGGAAACTATTAAAACATCAGCCAGGGACAGAAAACTTGCAGTTCACTCTCTTATATAGACATAATGTGATTATGTCTTACATCTGCATCACACATACCCATCCAACCCACTACTTCTTAGATCCATGGCTTGGTTGCCTCCTCTGGCTATCTCTCCCCACCCCCACCCTTGCCACTGCCCTACAGGAACACAAACATACATTCTAAGACACAGAGCCACCTCAAGCTCTCCAAATTTTTGCTCAGTTTATTCCCTCCTTCTGTAAAGTCTGCTGTCCCTTAACTCCAAAAGTTCTAAGCCTATCCGACCTTCAAGATCCAGCTTAAATGCCACTCCTCCATGAAGCTTTCCCTGATGGCTTACGCAAGACAGGATCTGATGGCACAAAACATACTATATGTACTTCCTACTCCAGTGCTGAACTCCTTCTTTTACATTCTAATTACCCAGACTACATCTTTTCTCCTCTACTAAATATTGTCTTAGCCATTTCTGAGTGCATTAAATTTCTTTCACATGGGAGACATTCAGTAAAAACTCTTAAATGCAAATTGGTGTAGCACAAGAACAGTACAATGGTCAGAAGATGGGGTCAGAGTCCTGGTTTCATTTGCGTACCTGTCTATTCTTCACCAAGTCAGTCTTGGCTTCCTCATCTGAAAAACAGGAGAAAGGATACTGCAGTAGCTACGGAGGTGCCCACTCAGATATCTCTTCGAGAAAGAGCTTGCCATTCAGCTGCAAAGAATGCGGCTACCTAACAGCACTTCCAGGATCCGCCTCAGCCCTACTATTCCCTGGCAGCCTCCAGCTAATGACGAAGCACAGGGGTATAGGGCCTAGCCATTTCTGTCCAACAAGGACTCCTCTACCAGGCAGTCCTTGCGTGTTTCCCACTGGCTTGGCTGAGGCTGTCAGATCTGCCTTGTGGTCTGAGACTCTCCCTGCCCCCAATTCTGCTCCACCATAATCACAGGCACACTCAATAAACCTCTTGCACCCCTAACTCCACCTCAGCGTCTGTTCCCCGAGGACACGAACTGACAGATACCTACCCTACCTCCTTTATATGGTTGTTATATTGAGAATTCAATTAAGTTACATAAAAGCACATTGTAAATTGTGATGGATAATACAAAGCTAAATAAAAAATCAGTGGTTCCCATGCTTTGTAATTTCATGTATAAGTATATATCTGTCCAAACAGGGGAAACCATCTTATCTTGACTGATAATAGGGATATTAAAAATACAAACACATTGTTTTTTTTCTTTAGCTGAGCCACCCTGCCACCTGTTGGCAGCTCAGCTCAGGATGGGAATCGAACTGCTGTTGCTCAGAGCTCAAACTGTTGAGCAAGCTCTTAACTAACTGAGCCACTCGGCTGGCCCCAAAATATAAACCTTTTAAAAACCCCACTAACATTTATTAACACCATTGTTTCATAAAAGAAACAGTTGAACATTTAAAAAAAAAGTATATATAGGGGCCGGCCGAGTGGCTCAGTTGGTTGAGAGTTGGCTTGGGAGCACAGGCTCTGAGCGATAGGGCTGCCGGTTCGATTCCCATGTGGGCCAGTGACGCTGCCCCCAAAATGAGCTGTTGCTGAGCTGCCAGCGGGTAGTGGGATGGCTCAGCTGGTGTGACAATGGGATTGCCTATTCAATGGTGGGCTGTGCCCACCGGTAACTGGGACTGGGCTCAGCACCTTGAGCTGAGCTGCCACCCGAATGGCTCAGTGGATGAAGTGTGCGCTCTTAACAACAAAGCTGCCGGTTCAACTCCCGCATGGGATGGTGGTTATACTCACAAGCAACTAGGACTTAACTCGGCACCTTGAGCTTGGAGGCCACGAGTTGCCGATGGGAAGTCAGATGGCGACTGGCGCCTCCACAACTAAGATTGAAGAACAACTTGGCTGGTCCCCTTCCCCAACTCCCCAGCACTGTTCCCCTCCCCCAACTCTCCCAATAAAATCTTAAAATAATAATAATAATAAATTGTATAAATTTATTAAAAATTTATAAAAATAAAAATAAATTGTATCAATTCTTTAAAAAAAAATCTCATCTATGTCCTTTTCTTTAAGGTGCATAAATTAAGTCTTTATGAAGAAAACTCCCTACATGGCCCTTACTTTTCTCATTTCACTTCAGAATGATAGACATGTTATTACAGATTAGTATTACTGCTCTGACTGGCACTTAGGAATCATTGATTTGTATATTTATATACTATTTATATACTAAAAGCCATAAATCAGCCCAACAAAAGGAAGGCTTCATGAGGACAAGGTCTCATTTTATTTTGTTTATTGCTGCATTCCTCAAGGCCTAGAATAGAGCTGGGCATATAGAAAGCATGTGATACATATTTGCTGAATGAATTTATTTTGAATCAACAGATTATCTCAAGTCATGTCCACTGAACCAGTGAACCCATTTCAGAGACTATAAACCAAGAAAATAACCCAAAAAACAAAGGAAATCATTTATACAAAAACAAAAATAATGCCTCTTCAAAGTACACTATAGCTTATAAAATGTTTTCATAGCATT